AAAAAAAATTAAAAAAAAAAAAAAAAAAAAAAAAAAAAAAAAAAAAAAAAAAAACAAGAGAATAATAATAATAATAATGAATTTGCACACGCTTTTGATAAGATAACAAAATTTTGCTGAAATCGCTTGCTTGCAATGCAACAAAAGTATTTAATCAAAATGAGCAAGTTTTTTATAAGCTAAGCACCTGATTGGCTAATCACAGAAATAATTGAAATTCTTCAACACAGTTTACAAAATGCAAAATACAAAATACAAAATATTCATAGCTACATATAATGAACGACCAAACAAAGTGTATAAATTGAAAGTTTCATGGCAAATAGTTGCTAAACATTTTTGAATGCAAATGTATTTAGCACCTAAGAAGTTTATATTTATATTTAAGCGCAAGCGAGAATCTAGATAACGAAGCTACTAAAACTAATCGAATTGAATTAAAACTGTTTCTTCTTTTGCATTTAAGTGCGGGCGAACAACTTTTTCTAGCGCTAAGATAGAACACACACGAGAACTATCAAAATTTCGAAATAAAAACTGCATACATATATTGAAATTTCAATATTCCACACGTGTTTCACTAAGCCTAGGCATATTTACAGTCTGGTAGAGGGATTTACACTAATCTAAGAGAGTCTTAACATAGGCAGCATCGTCCTGGATAAACTTATCGGCCTGCTCTGCTGATACTTCTACGCTATGGTAATTGTCCAAGCCGATTTCTTCCTCTTTCCTGTGAAGATAGAACGTTTATTGGTTTAGTTTTTAAGGGGGATTTACAACTCAGACCGGACTCACTTGAGCAGAATATCGACAACATTCTCACACGCCAGCAAGCACTCGCTATCTCGTCCCACTTTCGCCTCCCATTTGTGGTACTCCCGCAGTATCTCGTAGACACCCTTGGAGCGCAGCACCTCGCGGCAGCGTCTCGTGGCGCAGAGCTGCAGCAGGCACTCCAGCAGCATTTTGCGCAGATCCGGATCGGTCTCACGGGTCTTGCTTTCTGGCAGGTACTAAGAGGATATACACAGAATAATACGAGCCCACTGAATCTGTATTGTAATATACGCACCTGCAGCTCAATGGGCAACTTCTCGTTGTCTTCGTCGCTGAACTCTTCTGGGCCGCACAGCGGCTGCAATATGGCCACCAAAATGTCGTCCTGCTCATTCAATATGATATCATGGTACACCACATCGAAGCATATGTTTTTGATGATGCCAATGGTGCCGCCGCGACGCACCACACTCTCCTCAAACGAGGCAAAGGGCAGCAGCTTCTCCAGAAGCTGATACTTTGGCTGGCAGCAGAGCTCTCGACCACGCGGCACCTGAGTTAGATTACAAAATATTGGCGCCAGGTAGTGGAGCTTGCACTTTTTCTTATTATAGTCCAATTTGGCAAACGCTTTCGCCAGTTGCGGCAGCGTCGGCTCCAGTGTGTCCAGTATCGCCGGCGCCAGCGACTCGACGCGGGTTAAGTTACTCAAGACCATGCTCCAGGCATCCGCAAGCTCCGCCTGCTCGTCGCTTATTTGCTTGGCAGCCACATCCGCAATGACAAAACGCTGTGCAATTCACGTGATTAGTGAGTACTTTAAGCTTTCTTTTATCATAAACTTACGGGCTGCACTTGCTGCGCCAGCTCAAAGACTTTGATAGCGCCTGCCTCCTCCGCCGTGAGATTTATCAGGCTGAGCACTGCGTCCTTTGCAATTGTGGCATTTGCATCCAGCGTCAGCCCACAAATGGCCATTAACATATCATCTAACGAGAGTATTGCATCCTTTCCCTCTGTGCTGCCAGTTAAACCTAGGGGATTATGAAAGTACAATTTTTACCATTAATAATGTGCATTGGACATCGAACACGTGTTGCGTTTGCCGCACGTTCTTCCAGCTGCGCCTGATCCAAACATTCACCTACTTAACACATGTGTCAATGCCACTGCCTTGAGATCCAGGCGCTGATTCGGTTGCATAAATTGTATTAGCTCTTTTACGGTCTCCATGGTCTGCAGTTATTGCCCCAAGAAATTTATTTAATAATTTGTGTACTTTAAGCGGCGCGTAGTGTGACTGTATGCAGCCTAACATAAAAATACATAGTTTCTGGACGAAAATGCCAGCTGTTATGTTAAAATCAGCTGTTAGCTGGTTGTATATTCGTTCAATAACTGGAACATCTGTTAGATGGTTGATGTCTCTGCTTAATAGAAAGTCGGTTAAGTGTTATACGAGCATCTTTCTAAGCTTCGTTAACATTAGAAATGCGACTTCGTCATATTAAATTGAATCATTTGTATCGATGGTTGCAGTCTCTGCTAGAGGTGTCGGTCACTTACTAAAAAACTCACGCTATCTGTTATACGAGTATCTTTTAATTCTGAATTCGTTCATGTTTCAGTTACGTCTTCCCTTCCCTTCATAGTCCCTTATTAAAGGCGATAGTCACAAAAGGCTAAGTCTAAACTCGATTCTATTAATATTTTTAATGGTATATTTTAAGACATTTTATTTTACAGACTATAGTGACCATGATTATTAAATTAATACTGTGGTATTTTTGTTAAAGGATAAACGCAAGTATAACAGTCTTATGTGAACGTTTTCTATGCTACCTACTAGAAGCTCAATGTTATGAATAAATATAAGTAACGTATTATTTAAATTGATTGCTGATTAAAATCGAAGTATGATTTCATAAATATATTTAATATTTAACTTCGTAGAAACCTAGATTGCCAGTAGGTATAGGTCGTTGAAAAATAAAAATATAAAATAGATGGATATACTTTCAATTTATTATAAAGGTAGATTTAAATCAAGAAGTATTAACTGGGAAAATAGACTAACTGAGAAATCGCACACAAACTTTTACTCAGATAAAAACGATTTTGGCGATGCAAATCGATGCAAATGCTCACTTGGCTTGAATTGAATTGAAAGTTTTGCGATTTGATTGCAAAGAGCTGCGACAAGGATACAATCCGAAGACCTCACAGCTGCGAAAGGATCAACAATTGCAATTGAGAAAGGATTCGGCTAAAGAGTTTTGCTCGCCTTTTGGATTCGCTGAATGAATCCCCGAAGCGGCTTTATGCGCAAAACTTTTGCTTGTTATTTTTAATGGCCGGCAATAATCGTTAAATGTGTCGACTGTGTACTCGGCAGCGGTGATGCTGTCGCTGCCGCTGCCGCTGCCGCTGCCGCTGCCGCTGCCAACGTCCCAGTTTCTGTTCGGATGCAGCTCAGAAGCTCAGCCCAGGAGGCGTCGAAGGGGCTGCTGGCAACTCAACTGAAAATTTCATTTCGTTTCGCAAGACCTCCGCACCGCATCGCCCCACACCGCACCGAAGCGAACCGCACCACAGTTGGGGCAATGGGTGGGCCGAAAACTTTTTAGACTTTTTGTCGACTTTTCGCATTTTAAGTTGCGGCCAACTGGCAAATGCTGGCTCAGCAGGCGCACAGCGATGGGGCAGGCCTTAGCCTTAGCCTCGGCTCCAGAACTCCCAAATGTTAATTTCATAACCCGATTCGTGCACGACTAACTGTTGTTTCATTTATTTGCGTTCTATGCAAATACCCAACGCCCACATGCGCCACCCATTTGGGCGTGGCAGCAGCGTGGTTAAAGTCCAAATTTCAGAAGCTATGAGCACGAGCAGGAGCTGGAGCAGGAGCAGCGCCATTTCCTACCTGTTTGCATAGTGGCTGTGTTTTTCCTCTCCTTTTTTTTATAAATATTTCAGAATTCTAATCAAGATTCAGCTGGTTGGACGCTCGAGGACACTAGCTGGCTTCCAACTGCCCACAACCTCTGCTGAGTCCAGTTCTGCTCAGCGCTGAACCCATTTCAGCTGGCAGAAAATGTCGTGTTGATTCTGTTTTGGTGGCATTTTAATGTCCTGCCAAAAGCGCCATTCAAAAGCGAATTAAAACGTTGCATAGGCCAATATAAACAGCTCGTATGAGCTGGATACGTGTTTAAGGTAGTTTGTGTCCATTTAGGAAAACGGTTTTTGGGGCAACTGCAGAATCTGTGCTCGATATTTTTTTGATGAATAAATCTAATTCTTGATCCATTAGACTCTTCAACTGGAAATGCAGGACTGAAAGCAAATTCGTAAGAATAAATATTAAAAAAATTTTGTTATCTTAGTTAAATACAAAATAAGCCATGCTAATAAAAAATCTACATCCATTTAATAATAATCTTTTACTTATTTCAAAAAATAAAAATTTTATAAAAACTTCTATATATATGTGCTTACCAAAGTGTAGTATCAATTCAGAAAATTGTTTGTTAGGCAACTAACAATATTAACTTATATATTTAATTGACAAGAAAAAAAAATAATAAAATGAATTCTGATCT